TCATTCCTTCATCTAGAACTTGATTTGAATCTTGTTTGAGACCACATTTGTGCATTTGCATTCATAAAGATGATAAAGGCATTCATTTCAATTTTTCTAGCCAAATAAGCCCACCCTTTTCATGTATTTATCCTTGGCTTAACCCCTTTGAGCCTTCATATTTTTTTTCTCTTAACCCATAAAAAAAATTCTATCCTTTTTTAATGTCTTAGGAGTTGAAGAGTGTTATATTATATGTGCTTGGGATGGAGGAACACATTTGAAGTTATGGTTTAGGTCAATTTGGAAAAAAAACAAAAAAGAAAAAATATTGTAATAAGATTCTGCTCCTTTAGTTTAAGCTGTGCTTAATAACCGGGATCTTCATCACTAATGTCAATCTTCGTGTCAAACGGCTAGTAAGATCTATGAGCGTGCTAATAGCATCTTGGTACCAAGGAGTTATCCATGCTTGAGTAACCGGGCCTTTGTATCACCAATATGAAGGTTCGTGTCAAAAGAGCGTATACATAACGGCCTAAGAAAGTTTTTAAAAAAGTTGCTTGAAAAAAAAAAGGGAAGAAGAAGAAGAATGACCCAATTCAGTTTAATTTAGTTTCTTGCATTCCATTATATTTTTTTTTCTTGATTCTCTTCATTTCCTAAGATGTTCACCTTTGTTTTCGCAAACACTATATCCTTCCTTTCTTTGCCTTAGCCCCATTATAACCTAATAGAAGTCCTTTTGATTTATGTTTGTAATTGCTTTATGATTGGTGAATTTAGATTCTTGTCAAGCCTATGGAAAGAGGATTGGATAGGATGGTTTTGAGTGCAAACACAAACCGATACACTTTTGAGTGATGAGTGACATACACATTAACCTTGGTGAGGGATTTCTGACTTAGATTTCCTTTTGTCAAGTAAATTGCCATGATGTTTGTTTTCTTACTTCATGAGAAGATTGCTTGGATAAGAGAGATGTTGAATGCTTTGACTTGTTTTTTGCTTGTGATTGGAAAATTCACTTTTGTTTGATTTTCTTTTGTTTTTCTTACTGCTTTTTGGTCTTCATTTGCTTTGCCCAGGAGTGCAAAGGCTAAGTATGGGGAATTGATAAAGCCCAATTTTTATACATTTTATCCCACATTAATTTAGCATTTAAATGATAATTTTGAGCTTAATTGGATTTTTATGTATTATTGGATTAATTGGTTGATTTTTGGATTTTGCACAAAAATTGAGATTTTGGATTAAAAACATAAATATTTGGTGATTTCCTATTTTTGACTTGGAATTAATTTTTTCTATTTCTTTGGAAGCAAGTCTCGTATTTTTAGAAAGATTATTTTTAGAAAGTTTTGTAATTTCTTACCTAATTTTTGTGCATATCTGATATTTAATTTATGATTATATTTGGATATAATCTATATTAATAGATGCACTTAAATTCTTATAGGTCAAGAAAGAGCATATAGGAAATCTAATGGTGCAAGATTGTTTCTTGGGATTTAAACACAATCCAATATCAAGTGGGCCAATTAATTACTAATGGGTTTGAGTTTTGGATCCACAAAAAAATTTCCTCTTCTCCCATTAAAATATTCCCCTCATTCCATATAGAAAATTCACGCCTAATATCCCATAATCACTGATCACACTCACGCCTCTCGATCAAGAGAATTATTCACTCATCCATTCTTGCACAATGTCACATACCCCGTCACTCAGGTCACATAGCCATCTTGAATTCCATCATTATTTCCCTTTCACATCCATCTCTTCCCTTGCGCAAGGATCCACTTCATCTCCACGGAATCATCTTCTTCTCTTCTTCACTCCTCATGGCTGCGGCATCTAATGACTTTGGAGGGAAGATAATTTTCATGGAGGCTTAAACTTGTTAGGGAGACAACTTGGGAGAAGCATGGAGGAGGCTTGAGCCTTGGACTAGCACTTGAAAACCACAAGGGAGTGATATTCCATTTGTTTTTCAATTCAAGGACTTGAAATTATTTAGTTTTAAATAATTTTTAGTTGTATTTTTTTGTGAGACAATTTAGTTCTAGATTGCCATTTTTATTCTTGGATTGGACTGATATTTGGATTTTATTTATGTTGAGATACTTGCTGGAATTTATGTTTATGAACCTTTGCATTGTTAATTGAATTTATAATTGAGTTTTCATTATGAGTTTAATTATCAATGTGGTTTGAATTGTAAAATTTAGGTTCTTTTGCCTCTTAATTGTTTAATTAAGTTGGTTAATTGTCTAATTGTTTAATTGGATAATTTCAAACATAATTTTTAGAATTAATTTGAATTATTTTCATTGGTTTTAATAAGCTTAATTAACCAACTTTATACTGTTATGAGTTCTCTAATGATTTAAGGGTTTTTGAAATTGAGGGTTTCCTTTAGCACAATTAATTGATTAAGGTTATGAAGGTTAAATCCATGCGAATCCTAAGTTGTCCCCTCTACCTTACCTAAAGAGAACTTCTCCATTTTTACTTGTTAATTTTCTTTGCTTCTTGATGAATTTTCTTCATTTATCATTTTAATTTTTTTTCTTAAAAAAAATCCCCCCAAAAATTGCATTGCATTTATTTAGTTTAATTTAATTTTCATATAGATTTTAGGACATTTGCATCTTGCAGTTAGAATTAGAATTTTGCATTTTAATTTAGGTCCAATTTATTACATTTTTTTTATCGCCTAAATTTTTACCTAAAGAAACCCATAACTTGCTCCTTGGAAGTAATGACGTAGGTCGATCCTAAACTACAAATTAATTAGGACCTAGTTTAATTGAGTGCTTTAACAACAGAGACATCATTAGGGGTCCTCCATGGCAACTGTCACTACTGATCATAGTGTTTGACACTTTATTAGATCCTTTAAGCTCTCTCTTTTCCTTGGCTTGGATTTGAGATGGAGTTGTTGGGTAGAAACCTCTTGAATCCTATTTTAGTAATGGGCGATACAGGTGCAATAGGGGACTTGTTGACCTGAAGTGAGTGGGGTTTGTTTTATGTTTAGCGATTATACTGCAAACATGTTTAGTTATTATACTGCGAACTATTATATGTTGTTTTAGTATTTTGCTATTATGTTATTCTTACATATGTTTAAATTAATTTTTGGTTACTGAGATTTTATGTTTCATCTTATGGTTAATTAATATTTTCAGGTGAGCTTTTTAGCTTTTGGTGTCTTGAGAAGAAGCAACCTGAGGCATAGGCATCCATTGCCTTTGTAAGCCTCTTTTTGTGTGGGTATTGCAAAGAGTTATATATTACCATCTAAGGCTACTGCATATTACATTTTGTTATGATATTTGTTTGTCTATATTTATCTCTTTTGGATTATTATGTGATTGGGATATGTGCTGTTAGATTGTTCAGAGGTCATAGGACATTGGCATGTAACTTATGGCTCTAGTATGTTTTTTTTTTTTTTTACCTGAAACTTATGGCTCTAGTATTGAACCTTCGTTAGAAAATATCTACGATATTGCTCCAAGATTCCTTTGAGAAGACCCGTCGTGGGCTTAGCTTCCAACCCTTAATCTTGTCACGCCTTGGGTCTTGTGATCTGGTTATCGTAGCAGGTTTGTGACAGGTTTTGTACCCTAGACCCCGATGAGCCTTATTGTTATTGATGTTGGACTTGTGGGTTATTCTATTGTGCCTCAAGTCGTACGTTGATATCTATCCTGTCACAGTTGAATGGTTATTTTGTGAAAAAGAAAATTTCGAGGTTAAATGCTTTCTAATATGATGGCATTTTTGCGTTAGTTCTAACCTTAATTCTTCACGGATAGCCTTTTTGTTCAGTGATTTAATCCTTGGGAAATCACAAGTAAAGACCATGGAATTTAAAAAATTACAGACAAAGACCTGTTCATAAAAATTATTGTCAAAACCTACAATATTATTGTCAAAATCCATTGTAATATTATAATGGGTCCCTATTTGTAATTTTTCATATTCTACAGTCTTTATTTGCAATAATCCTTTCTAGCCATCGTAGTATTTATGAGAGTAATTTGTGCCCTCTCTATTGTGGTGTTTCATGACAATCAGATCAAGTTTTGGTTGATGTAGTTAAATTTTCTAAGATTTTATAAAATCTTTTAAATGATTTTTCTCCTTTTCTACTATGTTAGTGTTTAAATGAATTAATCAGCAAGGTGTTACTATTATAAGGAAGGCGATTTCAGAACTTCTTAATCAGGTCGCAAAATGGTCTTCCCCCCCTCAAAAAAGCCCAATTGAAAGAATCAGAAAGACTTTATCATTTTTGAAAAAGACACAAGATATTAAAAATTGGGTGGGTCATTAAATCGAATGAAACATTAATTCTAGGTAAAATATTCTAACCGTGGGCAAGCTACGGTTGAACTAGTATGAAGTAAATTAACACAACTTTAATTTTAGAAACAATTAATTTGGAAGCACTTACAATTCCAATTGATTTTTAATCAGGTTCTCATAGTGTTTTTCCTTATTAACAGGTCCTCATCCTCTCACTTGTTTTAATTGGACCCATGCAGTTTTCTAATTTTAGTTATTAATTTAATTTAAAATTCAAGAAATAATATTGAAATATATTAATCATAAAATTAAATCAATAATTATATACTTAAGAAAAATAATTAATCTAATAAATGAGTAGTTATTAATTAATTAGAATAATTAACTATAAATTAATAATGTTTTATTTTTAGAAAATCTGAATAAGATAATTTGAATTTTACAATTACAACGATAAAATTTTTTGGCCAAATGAAAAATAAATAGTATAATAAAATATAATTAAGTAAAAGCCCCACAACGGGAAGTTCAGCATTAATTTTACCGGCACAATGTACTAGGAATTTTGTTTCAAATACTAGCATTAATTAAATGTGAATATTTCTTGTAATCAAATATTGATTCATTTGACTAACCCCGTTGGCATAAAATACTAGGATTTTATTTCAAGGCTTTGATAAAAGACAAAGGAAAGAAGAATGAAGTTACTGATCGAAAAATTAACTTTGCAGCAGTACCGAGATTTTAAGAAATATCTTGAGAAACGGAAATGTTCTACGAGGCAGAGCACAAAGACTAGCTTGTGAATAGCAATGTCGTTATCTCCTTTGACGTATGCTTGTAAGTATGGTGTTAGGTTTTCATTTATGAAATCATGGAAGAACAACGTTTTACAAATTCGGGTAAAACTCACCAATGCCCAGAAAATTCTGTTTCAACAACAACCAGGAAACAAGGATCCAACATCATAGCAGCGACTATTCAAGAGTCCTGCACATCCTACAAATAAAAGCAAATTAAATTCCTGAACCTATTCATGAATAGATGTTTGCTGCAAGATAAACAACCACCCAAACAATAGGAACACCACCCATCATGTCTTTCACCTAGTCTGATCTCTGTAAAAAAGAAAAATTTAAAATCTAGCCTACTTTTATAACACATTCATGCCCTATATCACTGTAACATAAGCAAAGACAACCACAACTTGGAAAGTCAAGAACAGAGAGGTGGCCAACAAAATAACTGGCGAGAGAGAAAAGCATGCACAATTTTTTTTTTTTTTTTTCGGTGACAAAAGCATGCACAATTGAAATGCCTAAAATTGACAATAAACATAACTTCACAAATATAAGTCACCATGAAGCAATGGATACACCAACTAGACCAACCTTAAATAAGAACACAAATCACTAGATCCAGAAGAATATGGGTTCGGTTGAATCCAACATACTAAAGAACTTTTCCAATAGCACTTGAGTCCTAAAAAAGTAATTTTTAATATATTTAGCACCTTAAAAATATTTTTCCAGTAACACTTAGTATCTTAAAGTAACTTCTGATGTAATTTTGCCCTCAAAGTACTTATTCAGAAGCACATGGGAGGGCTCCAAAATTGATGGAGCTATCAAGACAACTAACATAATATCTGAGGTCGTTGGAAGAAAGAAAGACGGTGTTAAAAGTCCAAGAATCGTAGAAGGGCCACCATTGATAAAGCAAACCTAATCTCGCCAATAAACACCATTTACCCAAGGACTCTCTTATCAATGCCTACATATTGAGGCTTAAGGAAGAGCTTACAGAGTTTGTGAGATCATTTCAGTGCTGAAAATACCAATAGGAAGGACAACACTCCCAAAATGCTGGAAATTACCTTTTTAGTGCCTACCCCTTTCCTTTGGCTAACAAACCCTCCAACGTGCCAGCCAAGAATTTACATGAATATCATTTACTCATAACTTCCTTTCACCATAAATTTCTTCTACTAGTTTTTATCAGGCATCAATTCTGAATGCTAGAATTTAATTCAAAGCACTCTTAGAAACTTCTAAAAACATCTCAAAATTATATGAGCTAGTGGAATTAAGCTTTTCATGTAGCATTTTTTTTAGCAATATCTTCCAAAGATGCAACATTGAATAAACGGTCAACATTTTACAATTACTAGCAGTGACAAAAGGAAAAGAAAGGAGATAAAAAGAAACATCAAACTTGCACTTTTACAAGAATATCAAAATGGCCACTGCCGTAGAACTTTTAAATAAGTTGGTCAAAGTATACTTAGATCATTAAAAAAAATAAATCCTACCTGTGCAGAAGTCTCTAATATCTTAGGTGATTCTGACTTTGTTGATGATCCATCAAATAGACGAGAACACTCTGCATATGCAGATCCAATTCCCACTCCAGCGCCAAAAGCTACTGATGCCCAGCGTGTCACTGGACTCCCTGGTCCAATCATTAGAGAAAACAGATGATATTAATTTCAGTAGTTTGTTGTGGTCAATCCAGGACAGACCATGCCTTCAGTTGTAATCCATGCAAAATTGGCTCATTTTATTTGGAACAAAATCAATTTACAACTTTTAGCGCTTTCGAAATTATCATAAAATAGAGAACAATTTGATGGCTATTACGAAAAATATTATACCATACATAGACCCATGCTTTTCTAGTTGAAGAGACAGCAACACAAACCAATCAGAGATGGTTTATATTCAGCATGCGCTTCCAACCCCTTATTACAGAAAGTCAATAATCCATAAGAGACTGTACAGGTGATTATTTTCAAAATATGAACTAGTCCAAAATTGCATGTGGGGTGATATAAATCTTACGGAAAACAAGAAAACTTGAAAATGGTGAAATTTGATTGCTGATATCGAAGTGGTACCATGGCGAATACTTTCGTTCTTTAATTTATTCAAATCTTCTTACATTCGTTGGTGAATGTGTCCACATAGAGATATGGCAACTTGCTCGCATTATCTTGCAATATACACAACATATCATGCTAACTGGCTTATTAATTTATGATAAGAAGAGTTAACAAAAACAGAAGTACCAAAATCCTAATATAGTCTGTATATTTCATTGTAGGTTTTGATTCAGTCCACGTTTCTCTCCGGCACCATGAGAAGAGATTAATTCTAAATTGGAGTTATAGGGAAGGACCTTGGAGTTGAAAGGTTTTTGCTTGAACAGGAGCAAAATAAAATATATGTATTGCAATTTTGGGAAGAGACAAGTCAATGGTGATTTGGAGGTGAAGATGGGAGATTAAATCATTCCTCAAGTGTCAAAGTTCAAATATCTAAGATCTATTGTACATGAGGATAGTGAAATTGATGGAGATGTTTCTTATAGAATATAAGCTGGATGGTTAAAGTGGAGGAAGGCTGCCGGCGTTATTTGTGATAAGAAGGTGCCTGAGAAACTTAAAGGAAAATTCTATTGAAATGCTATTAGACCATATGTGTTATATGGTAGTGAGTGTTGGGCGATAAAAGGAAAACAAGAGATAAAGTTGGGTTAGCAAAAATAAGGATGTTGGGATGAATGTATCATCATACAAGAAAAGATAAGATTTGAAATGAAAATATTAAAACAAGAGTAGGTGTGATACCTATCGAAGAGAAAATAATTAAACAAGATAAGATAATTTGGAATCCTAACAAAAGAGGCACAGAAGACTGGGGAGAACGCTTAATGAGGTCATTGAATAAGACTTTCTGGTCAATAACATATCCAAAGACTTAATTATTGATAGAGCATAATGACGTCATGCGATCTATATCGCCAACCCCACCTAGTGGAATAAGACTTGTTGTTGTTGTTCTAGTAGAGCATAATCCCCATTTTTGTGTTCTAGCCCTAGTTTCATCCAAATATACATTGCCACTTACAAAATACTGCTAACTAATGGCGTTACAATTGTGTCATTTTAGAAGATATAAACTTTCATGGAAGAAATTTCATCATCTTTGAATGTTGGGGTCCATGTTGGCAAAGCACAAATCATTTTCTCTGATTTACTCCATCTGTCTGCATATACTGACTCTGGTAACACGTGAGCTACATTTCTATCTAACATATCTTTCCTTTATTCATGATGTGCAGTTTTTCAGCACCTTCAAGCCAGACCAAACACAAACTTCTCTCTGTTATTATTTTTTCACAAACTATTGAGCTTATTACACAGACATAGAATGCATGACGCAAATAAAACAACTAATCGTTTTGTATAAGTACTTTCAATTTTGTTGTCCCAAACAGTTAAAAAATTAATCCTTTCATAAAAGATGATCATGTTTAATAATCATCTAGTTCATATACTTTCTAGTTATTGTCCAAACAAGAAACATAAATTCTAATACTAAATAATTTTATCCACCATTGATAAGCAATAATATTTTGAATTGTCACTATATAAAAATCATAACATTTAGAGCTAAAATGTTCAGGCACACATAGGATTCATTTCAATCTTCTGCAATGCATGAGAATAAATCCACATCACACACACCCCATGTACCTAATCTTCTTGACCAGAATTCCCATTAATGCTTATTTTTCCCTAACATGGAATGAATGCGAAGGACTTCTTTGCATTTGAAGCTCAATGAGCAAGATCAAATATCTAGAAGGGCCTCCTGTAGAAAACATAGAAAACTGGTGGATTCCATCTTGACTGTATGGTTTCCTTCAATAATCAGATCCTCCTCTTCCACGTATTCTTCCATATAATTTTGGTGAATTTCAAAATGGGATCATTTTTCCATATAATCGAGGAAATTACTAGCTAAAAAAAGAGATATTGTTCTTATATTTGATTCTAGGAAGATTCTACGAAAGAAAGGTGCAATCAGACCAAGCTAAATTTAAACACAATTTCTTCAAAAATCAAGCATGTCCTTAGATCATATACCGACGTTTCTTGTAAGAAATGAATCCGACTCTAACATCAAGTTTGCGAAGGGGGAAAATCATCAAAGGGAGGCATTAAAGAACCAAGTTACTGTTTTCTTCTCAGCTTCTACCGGCTAGCTTTATAAATGAACGAAGAGAAACTAAAACAGAGAAAATAATAGTCCAAAAAGCAAAGAAGACAAATTCTAAAAACCTACTTCAAATATAAGACAAACCACGTTGAAAATTCAGAAAGCGAATGACCTAAAAGTAATTAGGAGAGAAGGCAAATTTCAAACACAAAGCTGCTACATTTCATCGCCTAAGAACACCCAAACTCATCTTCGAAAATCGCAAAACATGGTTAATTTTTATTACACCAATTCGACAACCACTGGCAGGTTCAGAATATCCAATAACAAACCAAGTTCTGGTTAATCTTCACACCACATTCCCCAAAGGGAAACGAAGAACAAAAAGAATAACCAAATCAGAGATAAGGAGTGGAACTGACTGAAAAATAGGAGACCACCAAATGCACCGCCTAATGAAGAATAGACGAAACGACGGATGGTGAGATCAAGGCAAGCGTCCCATTTGGCATTGAGGTCGTGTGACGGAGGAATGGTTTCACTGTTATCTGCCATTGGAGTAGAAGCAGTTTTCGCTTTTCTTACCTCTCTTGCAAATCGTCAAATTTTCTCCGATTCCTTCCTGTCTGTTCTCCGAGAGTCGCGATGCCGAGAAAGGTGTGTCTGACTCTCTACTCAAGCACAGTTGGCCACTCTTGCTTCTTTTCCTGGACAGACTCCGGACGGACGAAGGGCTGCGCGTTTTACGATTTGGGCTACATTAGACCTGGCCCCAAGTGAACAAAATATTTTCGTCCGCTAGCCCATATATTGTGTATGCCTGGATGTGATGCAATATGCATCCGAAAAAAGTGCAAGGGTTATTACCCTCCCCCACTCGTTGAGGGAAAAACACATATAAAAGAACCTCTTATATAAAACAATGAACCAAGACAGTGAAAGAAACTAATCTCTCATAAAATAATGAACTAAAATTTAAATCCTCACTGAAAGAGGTGTCTATATTTAATACCTAACATTACTTCAAATAAGAATGCTTCTAATAGGAGATACTTGTACCTTTTTTTTTTTTTTAAAAAAAACTTTTGAAACATGAATTCTAGAATCAAACAATGACCTTCATGTGCTATGCGAAAAACAATTTTCACTTAAAGAAATGACAATAACCAGAGACAAGTTATTTATGCTGGATCCTATGTTTTAATAATAACAAAACGGTAAAAAAAAAAAATTATTTTGTAAGATAGCAAATTATATAAAGAAGAGATACATTAAAATGTAATGTCTTGTCAAAGTGTGACAATAATCGAGTTATCTCTTCTCATAATTCGAGTTATGTATCTATCATGTGACAATTGAAAGTTAACCTAAAGCTTTTGTGGTTTCTTCATCGTCAAGTTTCACATGTAAACTTCTAGATGCTTCCTAAAATGCTCAAGTCTTGCTATTATTGTAATGCTTGTTCACATTCACCTGAGTTTATTCTATGAAAACCTTTTCAGTTTGCGTTGACATCAAAGGTAACTCAAGTCAAGCATCAAATAACTTGAGTCGTATGCCTCTAAATGCATAACAACATTTTGGACTTTCTCAAATGATCTCTAATCCTTTACAAAGTTGTTCAAATTCTTCAAGTGACAGCATATATAAACATTAAAAAAAATCACTTTGCAAGTAAAGAAGCAATGGATTAAAGATCAATAGATACATTATGTAACAAAATTGCTTTATGTCATGCATTTGAAATTACTCAACGTTCAAATGCTTTAGCTCGAACGGGAAAAAGAATGTCAACTTGCAACAACAATTCTTCTAAATCCACATTAATAAATTAAACACTTTATTTTCAAATCACAAAATATAATCGAAAAAAGATAAACCTTAAATGTACAAAACTATTATCATGGTTAAAAGAATTGTACTCATCAATATATAATCAATAACTTTTCTGGCAATTTGCATCCTTAAATGACTTATCATAAGCTCTAGAGATACTCCTCTGGTCCTATTTATAAGGCACTTCTAGCATGCTTCACACAGACCAAGAAAAACCTTAAACTTCATTAACTCTCATTTAAAATTTAATGACTTTCCAACGTTATCCCTATTTAACATATATTATACCTCATAGAAATAAAGTCTATACAATAATAAATGAAAGGTAAGATTGTACATCCATACAAAAAATTTCTCTCAACGCCCTATAAATAGGATCAAAAAATACATTCTCTCTCTGTCTTATAAATAGGACCAGAGGAGTATTTTATTTTTCACAGGCCACAATTAATAAAAAAAAGCCCTCGAGCTTCTTTCAAGCCATTTGAGTCATTATTATGCATTTGGTTTCATGTTGGCTAATGGTTACATTAATTTTCTGTCCACTGTTGAAGTCTTACCATTAAAAAAGCCCTCTCCTCTTAAGTGTCTTTATCTCTTTTGTTTCCCTCATCCTCACCTCTTACCTCATAATCAAAGTTAAAAAATCCCCTCATCTCATCGCTCTCAACCTTCATCCTTCAATCTCTTCTCCCTTCACTCTTTCTTTTTCATTGCTTTCTTCTTCTTCTTTTTCACAGTCTCCAACATCTTTGCGGATGGACTAGTCTTCTTCATCTTCTTCCACTTTCGATCAATGATTCCACGATTTCTTACACGTCGTAGTGGCAGAAAGGGAGCAAAGAGAGGAAAAACTACCACCAAAGAAGAGTATAAGGATAGCCAGCAATCCCTTTTCCTTTTCCTTTTCCTTTATTAGAAGCTAGTGTCAATGGGAGTATTTTGTACAAACCATCTTTTTTTGTTAGTTGTCATTGTAACAAGTTTATTAGTATAGCTACTCACTTCTTCATTCCTCTCCTTTATCCTTTATGCTAATGTGTAGGTATGCTCGAATCTTCTCCTTTCTCCTGTTGTTTCACTATTTGTGGGATGTCCAAGCTTCCACCCTTTCTCTTGTATGGGTGTGATGTTTGGCAGTAGCTGGCTCTAAACGTCTTTTTTTTTTTTTAATATTGACTTTTAGGGCTTTCTTTTAGATTATATCATAACAATGATTCAATTCAAGAACCATGGTGACTATCTAGCCATTGGAGGCCACAGAAGACGCATTTTGACATTTGAAGGAGATGAGAGAAAGATTGTGAATATCATCTTTCATTCCATTGAGTTAACTGCATATGAATTAGAATGTTTTTTTTTTTTTGCTTGCTGTCAATTTCTTAGGCTTTCAATTAGGAACTGTTAATGGCAGTCTCACCTAAGAGGGGGCTGAATTGGGTGAGTTATAAAAATTTTATGAAATTAAAACAATGAACTAACGGAAACAAGAGTATGAGTTAGAGAGATTTCACTGTAGAAAAGTGGACACAGAATTTATACTGGTTCGGTCTCAACCACTTGACCTACGTCCAGTCCTCAGAACACCTCTGAGTATTCCACTATGTTCCAAGATTGATCGGGCTCTTGGTGCCGCAGTACAGTAATTGATACTCTCAATCACTCCCCCTTACTACCCGTAAGGTTACAATCCCTCAAGAGTCCACACTCTTGAGTTTCACACAAGACGTGATTAATGATGAAAAATATAAACTCTCTTACAGAGTGAATAAATGATAATCACTGAAGCTCGGTGTATGGAAGAACAGAATATTGAATGTAACAGTAAATGATCAACAGAGGGTAGCTTGCGTATTCAATCTATTCATTTAATGCTTCTTCACGCCTTTTATAGTTGAGGTAGTTTAGTAACCGTTAAACAGAAGAGCTTATAGCCGTTGAGAGTCAGGTTGCGTGTTTTCCTAGTTGCAATGGTTTTCGCCATTAATGCTTTTGACAAGGTAGGTTACAGGCTACTTAGATAACCGTTGGAGAGCAGTTGGGCTTTTCTTCATAATCTGCAATAATACATTAATTCAATAAGTTTTTCTTTGCAAAGTAAGATCAAAAGCAGAACCGAACAAATGATAAAATGAACATTCATAGTTTATAAGTAGAATCAATCAGTTGTTAAATGTGCTGAGCAATAACTAGACATGCTTGATTGAAGTACTGATCGATTACTGGTTGATCGATCAGGTTATCGATTATTTAGAGTAAGAGCTTTTGAAACAGATAACTAAGTTTATCGATCAAGTGATAGATTAATGATTTATCGATCAAGTGATCGATAAAATGAAACAGTGACTTTATATTGATATGTAGAGAAAAAGAAGATCAAGGTCGCTTTTAATTTTGAATCTCTTTAAATAGAGAATTAAGACAAACATGAAGGCTGAAAAAAGCTCGAATAAAATAGATGATAAATTTTGAGAAACATCGTGACTGGTTGAAGTTTAGACTGAAATTGCTCCATGATCGAACAAGTGATCGAACACTTGTTGATCGATCAGGTTATCGATAAACAAAGTGTTATAGAATAGAATTTAAAGCAATAATTTTTGAACACATTATCGATAAATAGATGATGGATAACCTTATCGATAAACAATAAGCAAAAGTATATTCAGTGAAAACATAGGTTATATAGGTTAATCGAATAGGTGATCGATTAATGAATGATTGATCAAGTGATCGATAAAAAGGTTTAATCCTGTAAAGTCAAAGAACTGATTTATCGATCACGCTATGTGAAAAACAAGGTAGACATGTAAGTGCGATGATCGATCATATTATCAATAATCTGATTATCGATCCGGTGATTGAAGAACCATGATTTAAGAGCGATGTACCGATGATCGATCATATGATCGATAATTTACTGATCAATCAGGTGATTGATAAGCTACTTGGATAAGTACCTGCAAGTAGAGAGGGTTATGAAGCAATGTTCGATCATGTTATCGATAAGTCATTGATCGATAAAGTGATCGATAAATGGTGGCTAAAGCAAAACATAGAATGAGTAGAGTGCATTACCATTTATCTGTCTTCTTATCAATAATCTGTTTATCAATCATGTTATCGATAAATACCTATCAGATTTATGTCCCTTTATCTGACTGATGTTCGATCATTCTTGATTATCGATCAAGTGATCGATAATTTACTACATACTTTTATACACAACTAAGTTAACAATGATCGATCAACACATTATCTAACAAGTTATCGATCAAGGTTTCTACTAAATTACTTGATTGTACAGAGATATTATCTATCAACTTATCGATAAGTCCTTGATCGATTAGATGATCGATCAACATACTGAAACCTAAATTTCTTACTTTGTTATCATCAAAACCTTAATCCTAACATTCTCCCCCTTTTTGATGATGACAAAACATAGGTGAGGGATATTAACTAAGTAGCATCAAATAATAGTGAAATCAAATCAACAGAGATACTTGTCAGATCAAAGTGAGACAGAAAGGCAGCATAAAAGAAACTTTAACTGATAAACGTGAGCTGTCAACAAATTACACAACTGTGAGAAACTAACATACATAACAGAAACTGAATAAAAGAGACTTAAACAACAGAATTAAACAGCAAAATCCTTCTCCCCCTTTTTGTCAGCATCAGATGAAGAAGGGGAAGGAGTAGAGATAGTAGGCATGGACAGTGGAATAAGAAGAGGTGGAAGGTGAGAAAGTGGAGAGAATGGTGGAAAATGCAGAGAAGGGATTGGCTGGGGAACAGTGATAAGGGCTAAAGTGGTAAAAGGAGTAGGAGAGGTAGGGGGTACAGATGGTGAAGTGGAAATCGGAGAAGTGGGTATAGGAGAGGTAGATGGTGCAGGCTCATAGTGAGGAGGAGATGGTG